TCGGAATAGAAGAGGATGAAACCCCGGACCAAGTACGCTCTGCTCAGCCAAATCCTAATGCCAAGCTGAAGGTGTATATGGTGAGCGCGAAACCCGTTTTCTTTCCTTGTAAACTTCGTTACTCTTTTATCTTCGTTTTTTAGGATCATTTTGAAGCAAAGTTTCTTCGAGAAACGGAAAACTACTATGCTAATGAAGCTCAAGCTTTTCTAGAGAATAATCCACTCACGGAGTACATGAAAAAGGTCCATTTTAGTTTGATTTGACTATTTTGCTCTTCTGTGTTCTCTCATAATGTGCCATCAAATTGTATCCCTCTAGGTTGAAAGAAGGCTTGAGGATGAGCGCGCTCGATGTGATATGTACCTTCATATGGCCACCCAAGAGCCTCTTTCAAAACGTTGCGAGAAGGTAAAAAAATGTATTCATTCTTCTTCTTCACTAGCTGCGTTTTTCTTTGATCGGAGCTCTTTCATTTGAGTGATCTTGTGCATTGCATGCTTTGCAGGTATTGATTGAAGCGCAACTGGAACTCTTTCAAAGCGAGTTTGGCGCCCTACTTGAAGCAAATAAGGACGATGATCTTGCTAGGATGTACAAGGTTTGTTTTTGTATCGTTGGAATTCCGTTAAGCAGCTGCTTCCTGGAAAAACAACGTATAGTGTATCTAAGAGATCCTTTTCCCGTTTCAAAACCTTGTAAAGCTCGCTAGGATCACTCACACGAATGTAAATTGCTTGTTTTATGCAAGCTGTCTATTTATAGCTAGTGTTAGCGCACACCTGGGATGGGTGCCTCAGTCGTTCTGAAGAAAGATTTCGGCCTGTTGTGCAATATGTCTTTCTAGAATTGCACAATCATTGCGCAATATTGCTCCCTCTTACAAATTTGCGTATAATTGCATGACGAATCAGAAGCATAAGTGGTAGTCATTCGCTCTTTCTGTGTACTGGTGAAGCTTAGTCATTCATTCAGAAGAGAAATGAGACTTCGAGATAGTTGCAGTCTAGAACAGTTTTGCCAATCTGGGATAGGGACTGCTTGGTGACAGTGATAAGCTGAATGATGCCCATGCTGTTTTGATATTTAACACATTCACGACAATACGACCTATCAATGGGTCGTCGTGTTCTGCCGTTTCGGACAATACGACCCACCGGTGGGT